GACTCTGGAGTTAAACATTTCAGATTCAAGTCACAGATCTCTACCACTCACTCTGTAGTTCTTGCAAAAAATCATTCCACCCTTGTGTGTCTCAATTTTCAAATCAGTAATTTTCAAATCAATAAAAGGAGAATAACAGTTGTACTTAAATGAGATAATACATTTCAGTAGTACTAGATACTGTCTCGAATGTAGCAGCAAGTGATTCATTAATATTACATATATTTGTAATTTGTGAGAATGCCAAAACCAAACTCACCTCCTACAGCGGCATTCTGTCTGTTCTGCAGAAAAGGCAACAGTCTGTTGTGTAGGAGAGTTATAAATGAGAAAATAATTTTGTTGCAAAAATGGCTGTGACACACAGAATGATGGCAAGTCCTTTTGTTGTTTTGCTTTGTCTTTATTTTGTTCTTTGAGATAGAGTCTTGCTATAAAGTGCCAGGTAACCATGAACTCTCCAGTTATCCTAGACTGCCCTTGAAATCATGATCTTCCTTCTTCAGCTTCCTGAGTGTCGTGATCACAGGGCTCGTATGCAGCCTTCTTACTCTGTTAGTACAGAAGTCTTACTCTGCTTAGGGACACAAGTCATTTAGGGATGACAGTGGCCAATGGCTGGATAATAAAAAGTTTATAGGTCTCTTAGGTGAAACAGAATATCGGTCAAGGATGGCCATGGTCATGCATTGTAACTCACTCTTGGAAAAGATATGTTTCACTTTTAAGTAAAGAAGTTCTCCCGCAGATAAATGAGGCACATTCTAGAAGCATCGCTGTTTCTTTGATAGAAAACAGAGTTGGATTCATAAAGTTTATAGTGGTCTTAAAATTTAATCAGTAAGATGAATTACTAACCTCACTTGAAAGACTCTTAGGGAGGGTATTGAGCTATTTGTAGGTCATTGAAAATGTTTATCAGGATCCAGAAAGCCATATTCATAAAAGCCCTATTAATTGTGTTAATTCCATTAACAGATTTCTGTAGAATCACAGATTTATTATAACTTTTAAAAAATTCCAAAGAGACTCAGATGCTTATCACTGGGATTTTTCTGAGTAAGATTTATTTCAGGGTAAATGTGAAAATGATTTCCTCTATACGTTGTTTTCTGTAAAATATAATTTTGACTAATATATTTGAGAATTTTGATTTGAGTTCACATAGGCAATTAATAAAGAGAATTGCCCTCATAGCATTAGTCTGATAATTCTTATAGTTTTTTCCCTTTGTTTTTATTAATATATTATTGTTCCTTTATGACTCAGTTTGTGACATGTACAAAGCACATATGATTGAAATATAAATATTTCAAGAGCAAATGTGATTTCTAAGCTCACAAAGCACTTTGAAAAGATGCAGATATGTTACACATTTGCATTTTTTTCTTAATGAGTTCCATAGATAGAATAATTATTTTGCATAGTTACATTGGGAAGCTATTTACGCTCATATTTTTGTATCTGTTTTGCTTGTAATATGTGTGCAAGAATTTTACCTGTTGTAATTATACAAACTGGTGCTTATACTATCATCCTCTGGTAAAATATTGTGGCATCTACTCATGCTATGACAAAAGCTGCAGAACATTTTATGAATTATAAATCCCTTCTAACTTTTGTTATCCAGTGACAGATTAGGATGGCAAAGGTGAGAATACAAGTGACTTGTGCAAGGTCCCTTGTCTTTCTAGGATTAGAGTTCTAAGTGGAAGATTTCAGTGCCACACTTTCTGATCAAATGCAATAGAAGACACATAAATATTTTGTAAATATTGCCTAGAATACATTCATATGTCTGCTATACTTTAGGAAGTATATTAGACCATACAAAAATAGCAAAACACTGGCATAAACATGAATTTTGTGAGGAAAAGAACTTTCTTCTAGTTCAAATAAGGGCTAAAAGGTCTAATAGATAATGTGAAATAGGAAGAAAAGGGGCAAAGGGGAAGGGGAAACAGGAGGGGTGGGGCCAAGGAAAGAAGGGAATGGAATTAATATGAGAAAATGAAAACTAATGGAATCAAAGTCTTTGTAGATAGGGAGGGAGGGAGGGGTTGAAGTGAAGGCAGGGGAATGGGGAAAAAATTCTTATTTTTTCCAAGTCTTACTTTTCCCAAGTTTGATTATGTAAAGGTATAAATTTCCAATAATGAATGTCATTATATTGTATACATTAAATGTGCCAATAACATTAATTTAAAAACATAACTAATTGCTCCTGTCATAGATACATTACTTTATTCAATTTTCTGGGTGTTCACAGCATTATGGTTGCGTACAAGCAGTCTGAACCACAATCTTTAGCAGCAAATACAAAAGGCCTCATTTATAATTAAGCATTCTGTTTTTCTTTCCTTTGTCTCTGTCTCTATGTCTCTGCCCATCTGTCTGTCTCTCCTGTGTGTGGTGGCATTGGGGATTCAACCCAGGGCCTCCCATGTGCTAGAGAAGCCCTCTGCTACTCAGGCATACCCACTAGCCCTTCTGCTATTTTTTGTATATGTAACATTCACATTTTTTGAATTCAGCTTATCAGATAAAGTTAATTTTCTTCAGCTTCTGACAGAGATTAACTCTTCCTTTTTATACAATATATGATATTTGGTGTGCTCCCCATATACCTAGTTTCATTTCCTTTAAACATTTCTACACTATATTGTACTATTATGCTAGCAACAATTCTCATTGTATCTAAATGTAAGCACATACAGAAAACAAACAACAGTGGAGCAATAATAAATCCATCCAAATGTTTCATAGCCTAAATGAACTATGATTTTAAAACAGCAAAAGTGAAATATGAATGTTAGTTTCAGTACAAGTTACAGAATTTAGGAATTTGGTAAATCCCACTGAAAGCAGAAATAAGTAAACCTCAGTGCAGTTTATGTAATGTTACTTAAATGGATTAAACCTTATCTTTAAAAATCTGAGACTTTCTATAACCTAATTCATACTATAATTTTAATTTAAAAACAAGATAATTCAGTAAAGCAATCTTAAAGAGCAAAGAATAACAAGAAGCCAAGTTTGCATCATTATAAACTCATTTATTCACTCAACAGATATTCATTGAGCACCTCAACAGTGAACAGAAGAGAATCTCTATCCCTAGGGAGTTTTAGCTTTATTAAAAGAAGTAGACAGTACCTAGAAAATCAAATGACCAAGATACTTTCCGACTATGGGAAATGGTTACAGGAAATGAAAAGGGTGACGATCTCTTTGGGTGGACCGGTTGGGAAGGGCTTTTCAGAGGAAGTGGTGTTGTTCCAAAGGTGCAGCAGAGAGGACTCTGTGCAGAGCAAGGAGACGTGGGTTCTAGGCAGAGAGAACAGAAGCAAAGGCTAAAAGACAGTAAGTGAGAATATGGCCTGAGATGATACTGGGAAGGAAGAAAAGAGACAGACTATTCCATGCACAGAAGGCCATACAGCCAGGAACTTGGATTTTCTTACATGAGCCACTGAAATTTTTAATGAAAAATGAAATAATCTATTTTTTATGGAAGGCAACAGGAGAGGCTGGGAAACCAAGCTGCTCTGCTGACAGGGATGAGAGGCAGTGGGGATATGAACTCAGAAAAAAACAGAGATGGAAAGGAGTAGAGGCAGAGAAGCAGACAGAACTTGCTGAAATTAAAGAATCAGGATGAACATTAGTCCTAAGGTCCTTCTTCTTATGACAGAAAATCAAAGGATAGATATTAATGGAAAAAGAACTGACCTGAAGAGGCAGGAACTATTTCCATTAAGTTTTTCACATAGTTCCAGTCTACATGATGGGGAAAATCTGTCACTATTCAATACTAAGGAATAGACTCAGTTTGCTTGGATTTTTGTTTGAAGCTCTGCTCAAGAAATTTTTCGTTTTAAAAAGCCTGTGGACTTCCTTCTGCAAAGCATGTTTACATCTACATCTCTGTTTCCTGCAGAGAATAGTGCTCCTCACAACAGAGTAAGACTAAGTTGGTCAAATTCAACCTTAGTTTCTTCTTTTAGTTTCTTTAACAAGTATAAAATTTCCTCTGTGCTGAGCACTCTGATAGCTTCTTTACATAAAGTTGAAATGTGTACCTATGTCTGTTGGTTTGTAGGACTTTGGTCTTTCATGACCTCACGTTGCCTTGTTGATCAGAAAATACATATTGGTAAATCACTTATGTACGTGTTTGGCTCCTAGTCTTTAGTAGAAATGTTAGTGAAAATGATGACAGAGAAATATAATGACAAAATAAAGTGAAGTATTCATTTCTCTCATAAAATAATGGAAGTACAAAGTATTCTGAATAAATACCTCTGCTGGCCCATAGAAGGAGACTTGGCAAAGTGTCAGGAGAATATCAGATCACTCAGGATAGATCAAATCAGCTGACAGAAAGCTGATTGTTTATTTTATTAAGGTTCTTAGTACGTACTATACTATGTAGAGAAAGGATAGATTAAATACAAAGTCAGATTAAATTTCAGGATCTTAAAGAAGAAAACGTGAAAGAGTGGAGTATTCTTTGTCAATATCTAATTCATCTGTGAGGCTCATAAAGTACATTCCTGGGAGCCAACCACCCAAAGACCTTCTGAGATCAGGGAACTGCCTGTCGAACACTTTTGGGTGATTTTTTTTCCATTAAGTTTATTGGTACTTTTTAGGTATATAGTACAGTTACATTCATCATTGGGATCTTGTACCTTTACATGATGTATCTCTTGGCTCTTATGTTTTTCCTCATACCCCTCCACACTTTTGATACAGCAGGTAAATGGACCACACTTCAGAATATAATGCTCTTGTCCAGCCTCTTTATTTTATAAATCAGCATGAGACTTGTAAAGATAAATGATTATTAAAAGTTATATCACTTATTTTCATTAGAGATTAGTCTAAATCACAGGTACCTAGAGGGCCAGTTTTGTCTGCCTTAATACTCAGCTGTATTTGTCCAACATCTCCAGCTATGGATCTGCTAACGAGACATATTTCCGCTTTTCTTCTAGAATCACAACCACAGCTGCCTGCATGATGGACCTACGGCGGTACCCACTGGATGAACAAAACTGCACATTAGAAATCGAAAGCTGTAAGTCTTTCTGAGAAGCCAGCTGATTGTTTTAAGGTTGTCCCTAGGCAGAGGTTTCCTACTTGGTTCATGTCCCAAGGTCCTGCAAAGCTTCCATTAGGACATAAAATTTAATGGAACAAGCTCTGATAGTATCTTCCGTCAATAATGCCAAATAACGCCGCTGCTTTCTTACTTGTCCCTAAGTACTTAGGACAGATGTTTACAGATAAAGTAATTTGGCAATGAAAGTGCTATTCCAGGCATGTAAAATGTGCTCTTGGTGCAAACAAGTACAACAGGCTTGAGAAAATTAGTGGAGGTGGAAGGATATCACAAAATACCCTATTTGTTTCTGCCTCTCAGAAATTTATTTTCTATAATTATAAAATAAATATAACCTCCTAGATTAAAGCAATCATTTATAGAGTAGGGATTAGTGGATTGTTTTGTTATTGTTGTTTTGGTTTGAGACACTGTTTTTGGTGACTCAAGTTTATATTGTTGAGCAAGATGGGGGTGAGTATGTGTTGTGTGTGTCTGTTCTGTTTCCTGTTTTGCAATGTGGCTTCATTTTCTAGGCTATAGTTTTGTGTGTTGATTCCAGTAGCGACCCTGCTGGGCAGGATAACATGCCGATTCATAACCTGTCAGAGGCGATAGGAGGAGGTAGCTTGAGATGGAGAGGCTTTTTGAATTTCTTTTTCTCCGTCAGTTCTTTGGAAGGTTTTTAGACCTTATCCCACCAAGTACTTGGAAGCTGACAATTCCGTATCTAGTGTTCTGGAAAATGAGTAGTTGGACTGCTGGAAGGATACTCGCAGACTTTGTGAGGAATTTCAGAGGTGGCAAGCATTGTGACTCTAAATCACTGCTTTGAGCAGAAATGCTCCATTTAGTTCAGGTCATGGATATTTTTGCCCATTTCAGAAGATAGCTTCTAGAGGTAATTATATATATACATTTTAAAGAAATTCTTTGCATACTTATCCTCCTGATCAGCGTCAAATTTAAATTGATTTCTGCCTGGTAAAACTAGTTAATAAAATCTGTCTATAGGATTCCAATAATTAATTGTATGTAAATATCTTTTGGACAACGTTGTATGTTGCATTTTTTTGATTTATGATACAATTTATACATCAATGTTCTTCAAAGTCCAAATTCTTTGGCTATTTCAATTTGCTAATGTAAGGACATTTTGAAGAAAGTATGTTGTGTATGATTCATGATTTTTGTCATAATAATTGTACTTGGGGTATAATTTTACTGAGATTTTAAATAGTTGAACATGGATGAATTGCTTTCACTTACTAGATTTCATTTGAGGTCTTCTATTCCTCACAGATAAGTAAACCAGGACTTTTTTATTTTAAAGAACTGAAGCCTAAGAACATAGGTCACATCAAAATGTTTCACGATGTTGTAAAATTGTGACTTTGATACAGTTATTTTAAAATTAACATAATTCATTCTAAATTACATGTCTCATTTGACTTTTATAGTTACTTGTGAAATGAATATATATTAATTCATATTCTTCTCTTAGTGCCGAGGGAAGTGGATATAAAAGGTAAAAGGACTTGTCTCGTATCTTAGAGCCTTTGTTTTTTTTTTTAATTGAGTTTATTGGTACATTTTAGGTATACAGTACAGTTACAGTCATTATTGGGATCTTGTACCTTTACATGCCAGGTCTTGGTTCTCATTTTTTCCTCTTGTCCCTGCCCTCCCTTCACCCCTCCTCCCCTCCCCATCTACAAAAACTTTATTTGCATCTTTTCATTTTCTCACATTTTTTTTCTTTTCCCTTATTACCTTTCCCCCACCCTTCCCACTTTCCCTACACCTTTAACCCTTTTCTTCCCATTTCACAATGTCATTTATCTCATTAGGATCATATGTAGTATTACAGTTTATTCACACCAGAGAAACTATTTGGTATTTATACATGTGTGACTTATTTCAGTTAGGAGTTAATCCTCTATGTATCCATTTTCCTATGAATGAATCTAATTTCTCATTCTTTATGGCTTAGTAATATTCTATTTTATAGAAAAACCACATCTTTTTTATCCAGCCTCCAACTGAAGGGCAAATGGGCTGTTTCCAAGTTTTAGCTATTACAAACTGTGCTGCTATGAACATAGGTGCACATATGATATGATATTTTTAATTCTTTTGGAAAGATATCCAGCAGAGGGATGGCTGGGTCAAATAGAACCTCTAGTCCCTGCTCTTTGAGTTATCTCCATATTGATTTCCATAGCAGTTGCACCAGTCTGCACTCCCACCAAGAATGGAGAAGTGTTCCTTTCTCCCCATAACCCCGCCAACATTTGTTATTGTGTGATTTCTTGATAGCAGCCATTCTTTGTGGGGTGAGGTGGATTCTCAGTGTTGTTTTCATCTGCATCTCTCGAATGACCAGTGATGTGGAACATTTCTTCATATATTTACTTGGTGTTTTTACTTTTTTGTCTGTGAAATGTCTGTTCATTTCAGATGCCCATTTTTGAATCGAGTCTTTATTTTTGGGGTCTGATTGCTTTGAGTTCTTTATATATTCTAGATAATAGTCCTTTGTCTGAGGACAAAGCTGGTAAAAGTTTTTTCCCACATTGTAGGTTGTCTTTTAGTTCTGTTGATGGTTTTTTTGCAGTGCAGAAGCTTTTTAATAAAATGAGATCCCAGTTATTGATTCTTTCTGCTAGTTCCCATGCTACTGAGGATTTGTTCATAAAATCTTTTCCTATGCCAATGTCTTCAAGAGCTCTGCCTAGCTGGGTGGGGTGGCACACACCTGTAATCCCAGCATTCAGGAGGCTGAGGCAGGAGGATCACTGTGAGTTCGAGACACGCCTGGGCTATGTAATGAGTTCCAGGTAAGTCTCAACTACATAGTGAGACCCTGTCTCAAAACACCCCCCCCCAAAAAAAAAGTTCTGCCTAACATCTTCCAGCAAGTATAGTGTTTCTGTTTTAATATTTAGATCTTTAATCCACTTGGATTTTACTTTAGTGCATGGTAAAAGATAAGGGACCAGTTTTAATCTTTGGCAGGTTGAGATCCAGTTTTTCCAACACCATTTAATAAAGAGGCTATCTTTCCCCCACTGAGGATGGTCAGCTCGTTTGTCAAAGATGAGGTAGCTGAGTACATCTGGATTTGTTTTTGTGTCTTCCAATCAGTTCCACTGATCTTCACATCTGTTTCTTTGCCAGTACCGTGCTGTTTTTATCACAGTGGTTTTGTAGTATAGTTTCAAATTGGGAATTGTTATACCCTCTACCATGTCTCTGTTGCCTAGGATGACTTTTGCTATTCTAGGTCTCTTCTGGTTCCAAATGAATTTTTGGATTCTTTTTTCTAGTTCTGTGAAATATAATGTTGGAATTTCAATTGGTATCGCATTGAATCTGTATAGCAGTTTTGGTAATGTGGCCATTTTCACTATGTTGATTCTTCCTACCCAGGAGCAGGGGATATCTTTCCATTTTCTTTTATCCTCTTTGGTCTCTTTTTTCAGAGTGCTGTAATTTTCAATGTACAGGTCTTTTGCTTCTTTTGTTAGATTGATTCCTAGATAGTTCATTTTTTGGGGTGCTATTGTGAAAGGAGTTGTTTCCCTAGTTTCTCTCTCATTGAGTCTGTAATTTTTGCACAAGAAGGCTATTGATTTTTGGGTATTGACCTTGTATCCAGCTACTCTGCTAAAAGTGTCCATTACGTCTACAAGTCTTTTGGTGGAGTTTTTTGGGTCTTCAATATAGAATATCATATCAACAGCAAATAATGACAGTTTAACTTCTTCCTTTCCTGTCTTTATTGCTTTAATTTCTTTCTCTTGTCTAATTGCTGTGGCTAATGTTTCTAGAACTATATTGAAGAGGAGTGGTGATAGTGGGCATCTTTGTCTTGTTCCTGATTTTAACATGAAAGTTTTCATTTTTTGGCCATTTAATATAATGTTGGCTGTTGGATTTTCATAGATAGCCTTTATTAAGTTCAGATATAGACCATCCATTCCAATTTTTTGCGGGGCCTTTATCGTGAATGGGTGTTGAATTTTGTCAAATGCGTTTTGTGCATCTATTGAGAGGATCGTATGGTTTTGTCCTTGACTTTGTTAATATAGTGTATTACGTTTATTGATTTACTTATGTTGAACCATTCTTGCATCCCTGGAATAAATCTGACCTGGTCAGGATGTATGATCTTCTTGATGATCCTCTGTATTCTTTTTGCTAGTATCTTAAGCATTTTTGCATCTATATTCATTAAGGAGATTGGCCTGTAGTTTTCTTTTTTAGTTGCATCTTTCCCTGGTTTGGGAATCAAAGTGATACTTGCTTCCAGGAATTGGTTTGGAAGTATAGCTTCCCTTTCAATTTCATTGAAAAGTTTGAAGAGTAAAGATAATAGTTCTTCTCTAAATGTCTTATAGAGTTCAGCAGTGAATCCATCAGGACCTGGGCTTTCCTTTGTTGGTAAATTTTTTATTACATTTTCAATTTCACTGACTGTAATCGGGGTGTTTAAATGTTTTCATCTTCTTTGTTCAGCTTTGGTAATTCATAAGTATCTAAAAATCTGTCCATTTCTTCTGTGTTTTCCAATTTATTAAAGTGCAGGTTCTGAAAATAGGTATTAATGATCCTCTGGATTTCTGTTGGATCTGTTGTGACTTTGACTTTTTCACTCCTGATTGCATGGATCTGAGCCTTTTCTCTCCTTTTTTTTGATAAGATTAGCTAAGGGTTTATTGATTTTATTTATTCTTTTAAAAAACAAACTCTTTGATTCATTTATTTTTTGTATTGTTTTCTTAGTTTTCATTGCAATGATTTCTGCTCTAATCTTTATAATTTCCTCTATTGTTCAAGCTTTGGGTTTTTCTTGCTCTTGTTTTTCTAGTAATCTAAGATTCATCATTAGGTTGTTTATTTGAGGTCTTAGAGTCTTTGTTGAAGCTACCTCTGTGCTGATGTGGTAACTGATAGCTGAATTACTCTAAGAC